AGATAACGAAATGATCAAATTTTTAGAACTTAGTGTTTAGTTATCACAGAGACCTTCTAAGAGCTCTTGACTTCCAGTCAAAAATCCTTGGAAAACCCTCTAGTTTTTAAAATAAAAAGAGTGGCAGATATACTTTGATAGATAAACTATCGAATGGCGTAAAAATTTCTGTTTCGAATGAGGAATGTGCGGGTAAAAATGTTGAAGAAAAAATACCTCGTATATCCGTGACCTCTATATAAAATCAATTTTTTATTGAATTGAATTACATTTAAATTTTCGAAACATGTTATTTGGAATCAGGACTAGGCATGCGACGGTAGCAATTATCGTCATACCGATCATCGCTTCTTACCGATTATTGTCTACCAATTATTAGTCAAATTTTATAAAAGAACTACCGTAGGACTCACAAGATTTCGGTCTATTTACAAACGTAAAAATGTTCAAGACTTTCACAGTGGAACTTTCCAAAGGACTCGATCAAAGACAATAATGTATGCTAATATTATTCAAACAGTAAAAAACTGTGCTGACTTTGATCGAGTCCTTTGAAAGTTTCCACTGTGGGAATCTTAAACTCTTTTTCAACATCTGTGAATAGACCGAAATTTTGTGAGTCTTATGGTAGTTCTTTCATGAAGTTTGGATCAAAACTGAGTAAGTCAATACAGAAACTTATCGGTTTTATCGGTAAGAATCAATAACTATGGATAACGATAATCGGTAAAATACGATAAAACCGATAAATTATCTTTATCGTTGCATGCCTAATCAGAACGCGTCTAGCTATCTATTGACAAAAAAAAGTTCGTCTCAGATCAATTCTTTTAGCGTAAAAGCCTTCTTTTCCAAACGAGGCGGTTTTTCCGAGAGTGATGTTCAGTGTAATGAGTTTCGAAATTTTCCAAAGCTCCCAATTCGTTGAAAATTTCATAGAATGTGCATCGACATAGCCTGAATCTGTGATGATAGCAGTTTTATGCAGTATTTCGCCTCGACCGAGATCTAGGTTTTCCAGATATTTTACATTTTTCTCAGTCAAAAAACATTTTTATTCAAGAAACAACGTGATATTCGGTATCAATGCGCAAAATTGCATCGAATGATGTATCGCTTATTAGTTTTACGAATAAAAAATTGTTTGACAAAAAATTCAGCGGTAGATTGGTCCCCTCAGCGAGTTTTCATTGGAAAATTTTTTTTTTCAAATTTGACTTTTCTTATTTCTATTAAAAATTGATACATAATAAGACAATATTGTGAGAAAATAATCATTTTTTAACTCATAAAACCAGATCTCCACCTGCTTTATAGAAAAAAGTACCCACTGTGCCTCTTCGTCCCTCCGCTCTCATATTGATTACGTAGTCATTTCGTACGATTATGTAGTGGACGTTCATCGAGTGAATCAGAGGCTACAATTTTTAAATGTTTTCAAAAAAACAAATATTATCACTAAACTCAACGTTATCGGTTAGATACAACTATTGTACTAGTACCAAATAACTGGTAACTATATAATTATCCTTACTCTGAGCTACTCTAACTCCGAGCTTAAAACTGAGTAAGAATGAGTCTTTCTACTTTATGATTACGTTGATATTTTCTTTTAAATTAAATTAGACTCCACTCCCTTATCAGAAATTATCTGCTGATATTTGCTAAAAATAATCGCAGTCAAAATTTGAGAATTCGACAAGGATATCTCCTTGTCGAATTTCTTACAAAACTTCAATCAACTAAATTTTTGTCCAATTATTGGAATTTTTTTCTCTAACATTTATTTTTAAAACTAATTTTATTTGACAGAATACACTAAAATTGTAAGACACTTCATGACTTCGAGAAGAAATCTGAGCTTCAAATAGATATTTATGTTTTAGCCAGATATGGATACGATCAAAACATTTTAGTTCTGGAAAAAATTTTGCTCGTAAAACCCGAAAACAAACACTCCGTTAACGCCGGAAAGTTCAGGTAATGCACCGAGCAACTGACTAAGGATTTTATGGTTTTTAAAAAACCTGATGTTTCGTAAATTGCTTCATTAAAAATTTTCTGACTCGGCAAGAATGTAGAGCAAACATTTCTCTAAAAAATGAGAGATTGGACAACTCTGTATGATTTGTTTTGAGATTTGGGCAACGATATTTCATAAGGGACTAACCAAGTACTGGATACTCGTTTACTACTCGACTATGTGTTCTTGAGATATCGCTGCCAAAATCTTAAAACAAATTATACGGAGTTATCCAACCTCTCATTTCGTAGAGAAATGTTTGCTCTACATTCTTGTCGAGTCAGAAAATTTTTAATGAAGCAAAATTTAGGAAACGCCAGATTTTTTATAAAAATATAAAATCTTTAGTCAATTACTCGGTGCATGCCCATTCAGGAGGAGCTCACGCTAGGACTATAAAAGTTCCCGCTACGTTGATTTAACGCTAATTGAAAATACAGTTACTGTTAAAATAACGATAGCTAACTTATCAGTTATCATTAAAACAACGGTAACTGCCTCTTCAGTTACCGTTGAAATAACGGTACTAACAGTCAGTTAACTTTGAGGTAACTATTGTTTAAGTATGGCAGAAATATTCACGCAGCGGCTTAAAATGGCTTCGAAAATCGTTAGTTTTCCACTAAAACTGCTGAAACTTTCATAAATGACATGGTTTTGATTAGCACACACATGTCAGTCAACTAAACTAATCGAAATTATATAATTTCAATGTTTTGTAACTGCAGTTTTTGAAGTTTCTGGAGACCTCACCATCTACAGCCAGCTTGAGATCAATGAAATTAGACTACAAAACCATGTCATTTATGAATGTTTCAACAGTTTTAGTGGAAAATTAGCAATTTTGGAAGTCATTTTAAGCCGCTGCGTGGATATTTCTGCATATTTACAAAAAATAGTTACCACAAAGTTATCTAACTGATAATTACCGTTATTTTAATTAGCGTTGTCAATAACGGCCGAAGAAGTAACGGGAACTTTTACAGTCCTAGTTCACGCAAACCAACAATAAAAATACATTTAACTATGTAGAAACAACAAATGATTAAGTAATCTTTGGCTGACCATTCCCCTCTTCTCTCCTATGTAAACAAAAGTAATCATTTGCAGAATCCCCCTACCCCTCGCATTATTTACATAATATACGAACAATTCCTGGAGATATTCGAATATTATGTAAACATAGTGGGGGCATCCCGGCCAAGGGGAAAAAAGCGTTTTTCGAATGATAGAACGGGCCGGAGTGGACCACATTGATGCTGAGTGAGAATTTCTATTTTTCTGTAGGTATTTTTAAGGTCCTTGTCCCTTGCTTCCTTCAGAGGGCGTTTTTTTACAATTTTTTCGATTTTCCATTTCCGATGGATTCGTGTCAAGTGGGCAAAAGCGTAGTCCGGCACTCCGTGCTCAGTGTGCCGCGGGCTTATGGAAAGTTTATTGAACTGAACTGCCCCAGAAATCTCTATTCCCACAAGCAGAACAAAAAGGTTCTGCTGTGGGAAAAGAATTCACAGAATAGAACACAATTGCTCTGTTTTGGGGAAAATCTAAATATTTAAGTTGTTTTCTATTTTTTGGATTGCTAGTTTTATTAAGTACGGCTGGAAAACCACCTCGGATCGGGGTCGGAAACTCAAAACCATATTAGAGCTGTGACAGTTACCAGTTACCGTTACCATCGTTCCCCGTTACTAACGGTAACTATAATTGACATAAAACTAATAAGCATCGTTCCTCCTTAGTAGAGGTAATGGTAATTGATATACAGTAAGAAATTCTTTACCCTCCAGTAACGAGGAACGATGCTTATTAATTTTATATCAGTTACCGTTACCTCTAGTAACGGAGAACGCTGGTAACGGTAACTGGTAACTGTCACAGGATGGCATTTGTCAGAAAAAACCCTTAAAAATAGATCAGATAGTTTTCAAAAAAATTAATATTATTAAAATCACACAACTTTTTGACTCGTTTAAGTTAACTCATGACTAAGTAATAGAATTAGATCTTAGATTGTTAGAAAGAGCAACTATAGAAGAATAGATATTTGCTTAATTTTTGATTGTTTTAATAAAAATTAAAAACAAAATAATGCAAGTTTTTTTTTTGTCTTTTCCATTATGGTCTTCATTCTTAATTGTTCTAGAAGCGTTCAAGTTATATTCAACTCATGTCATTAATAAAAAAATAAAAATATAAAAATTCGGTTTTCTTACTCAGGAAATATTTTTTCAGTAAAAATATTTGTTTATATTCGTGATCAATGTATCTCATTACAATGAAAAGAATAACTAAACAGCTTTATTTAAATAGAAAAGGAAGCAAAACGAAAATGATTCTAAAAGGTTTAACACTATTTTCAGGAAACAATATATTCAAGATGATAATGTATAAAAAACTGAAGAATAAATAAGAGATAAGTAAAAGGAAAGGCAAACAAAGATGTTAAGTATGATCAATGTTTTTTATCGAACTTTATTGAGTCTAATATCTGTTATGGTCTAATAATTTATTTGATTGCCTGCTTATGTATGATGAAAAAATTGGTGACATTTTATTTAAATGTTTATTTATTCATATAACAGTCGCCATATAACTTCTTTTCTTTTTTTTTTTTTCTATTTTTTTTTTCCCATTTATATTGCTAACTTACATTACCCTTTTCTCAGTTGAGAACATTTTTCTGGATCTAATTATATCAATAATCGTATAAATTAATTATATGAGAAAGATAAATCATAGTAAAAAAGAGAACTCTATGTATACATTATTTGATCTAATCAAACAGTTAGTCAAGAGCAAATCAATTTTTTTTTCTCGAGTTAATATGTGTCAATGTATATATAATCTTATGATGATATTAAATTTCATTGAAATGTGTAGATATTTTAGATTATTTTATTAGAATATCTTTGTTAAATTATGATTTTTATTTATTTTTATAGACATACATGTTTAAAAAATACAACATTAAATAATGAATAATTCGTGTCGTAGAGATGAACAATTTATCTTAAATGTTCAATGGTATTTAGGTGGATGGGCTTGTTTAATGGTATGTTTGATTGGTGTTGTGGGAAATAGTATATCAATTGTTGTATTATCAAATAAACGAATGAGAAATTTATCAACAAATATTTATTTATTATCATTATCTGTAATCAATTTAATCTGGTTATTATTATATATATTTGTTAATGCATTACGTTTTACAATTATTATACCACTTTTTCTAAAAAATACCGATGAAGGTAGTAATAATATTCATACATACGATCAACTTATAGCCAGGTAATAATTCTATCATTTATATTCAACAATATTCTAGACAATTTTATAATATGTTCAATATTCTATTTATTATATAATGTTTTTTGTTTTTATGTTTTTATAGATCATCACCATTTGTCATACCCATTATGAATACTCTTCAACTTTGTTCGATATATTACACAGTGGCTGTGTCTATCGATCGTTTTTTATATTTAACATATGGCATTCAAGCTGACAATATTTGTACAATAAAAAATTCATTAAAAATTATATTTAGTTTAACTATTTTTTCAATTTTATTTATTATTCCAAATTGGTTGAAATATCGAGTTGTACATGTTCCACATAACAATAAAACACAATATTGGCTAAAATGTAGTTAATGATACATTTCCTTTTTTCTTTTTTCTTCTTCTCAGAAATCTTTTAATAATTTAGTATCGAGTCTTCTATTTGACTTTTTGTCCTGAGGCAAAAAAACATTTCATGTACGAGTAAAGCATTGAACATCGTCTAATATATTTTTTTAATCATTAATTCGATGGTCGATGTATTTACAGATACAGATAAATATTTCTCTTGATGAAACTAGATAACAGTACTTAGATATTATTGCTTTGGATTAGAGACAATGGACTCTTTCAATAATTAAGCGTTAGAAGATCATGTTTCTTTGTGAATTATAGTAAATACTTTTTCTATTATTTTAGTGACACCCATTGGTGAAAATCAAATATTTAAAAAAATTGTTCACGTTTATACGTATATTCCTGTTGTTTATATGATACCATTTATTATTTTAATTGTTATTAATTTTCTTACAATTAAATTATTATATGATTTTCATTATAAACGTCAAATATTTTTAAAAACTCGACCAGCCAAACATGATATTCGTATAACATTGATGCTTATTGGTGTTGTACTATTATTTTTTATCTGTCGTTTTCCTAGTTTAATTAATCATTTTTTTGAAGTACATTATTCAATTACCGAAGATGCAAATGAAATGACAAATGTATTAACAGGATGTCGTACAATACGAAAAGTATTTAATACTGTTGTAAATTTTTTACAAACTGTAAATGCATCAGCTAATCTAATATTTTATTATGTATTTGGTAAAACATTTCGTGAAACATCAACAAAATTAGCTTGTCCAATGCGTATAAATGTAACAAAACGTGAAAATACTACACATCATATAAGACGACATTTTAGTGCATCGATTGTTAATAATAACATCGACAATAATAATTATATTCCTGGAAACAATAATGATGACAACGACAGATATTTTAATTCAAATAAAAAATATCAACATACTGTTAGTAACAAACAAGATGAACAAACTATTTTGGTTTCGTCAGGAAAAAATAAAACAAGGCGTTTAACGATAGACAATGCCTTATTAGGCTCTAAAGATGTATCTGCTTCACATTCCGTTTGAACACATATAGATCTCTTTTCCTGATATTTAAAAATAAAATATTTTAAATAAGTAAAAACATAACTGAGTGGTCTTTCTTTTTTTAGAATAATTTTTTGATAATTAGGAAAATATTTTATTCTATAAAAATGCAAACAATCGCAACCTTATCGATATATTTTAATAAAATAGAGTAAATACAAAAAGTCAACATATAAAAAATAAAGTTATAAAAAAACAAAAACTTCACTGAAATTTGTTAATATAAAAGTATAAAAATGAAATAAAAAATTCATCGAATTTTTTCAAATTACAAAATAAACTTTCATTTTCGTTAAAAAAAAAAAAGTTTTTCAAAAATGGCATAATTATCAAAAAAAGTAAAAGCAAGAGATTAGCAGCGAGACAAAAAAAATAATAAAAAATATAAAATATAAAAGCTCCCCTGGTAGTAAATAATACTGAATAAGACAAAATATGAGATTTCAATTGTTATCTTTAAAACTTTGCATTATCAATGTATCAATGTATTATTGTATGTTGATAATAATTCCATTAAATCATCCTGATTAGTCAATTGTGTACGAAATTTTTGCATCAATGTTAATAGCTCTTGAACAATCAAATCCTTTTCGCGTAATATCTTCGTTTTATCCTCTAATTTTGTGGCCATATCGGAACAATTCGCACACTAGATAACAAAAATGATACATAGCATAGTAGCACACGCTACATTCCGAATTTTCGATTGTTTTTAGTCAATTTTTCTCATAGTTAGGCTTTTTTGAAAAAAAAATCGGAGAACAGTTTCTTTAAGCAAATGAAACATTTGTGTGCGTACGCCAGTATTCGACTGGTATTCTGGCAGGCAGCTTATTGATTACGAGTGACCTAAACTAACTGTCAGTCTCTTACAGTCTGCTCTATCAATTATTTGCAAGATGATCGTGATATTTGTTATACTCATAAAAAAATTCGATGACTTTTTAGTAGTAGAAAAATTTTCCCGAAATCTAGCAGACTGGTAGAACTTAGGGTATATCGGAAACCCTGGATATAGCCTAGGGTATCAACTTTAAGTCAACTTGGGGGAGCGAGTACCCCCTCCCCCCACTCCCGCAATTTACGGCCCTGGATATAGCCCATATCACAAAAACTGTGGAAATGCTACTTTGCTCTTTAACCTCTTACCCCTTTTTTATTCTGATAGTTAGATAATTTGTGTTTAATTAATTCACATTCTTCGTGTTTACGTTTCACCTGTTTTGTCAACTCTTCTATTTGCGCTTGACGTTCCCTACAAATTTAAACAAACAAATAGTAAAATCAGTTATACATTCAATATTGTCATGACTAACCATGAATTATCTTTCAATGAATCGGCAATTTGTTTTTTTAAAAATTCGATTTTATTATCACGTTGTTTCAATTCTTTTGCATGTTCATTTCGCATCTGTTGTAATTGTTGTTCGTACTAAAATGAAATTATTACAAAAAATATTCATATCTAAAGTGATAGATAATTTTAACATAATACTAACATATTCGCGTAATTCTTCCATTTCTTTATTTGATTGTAAAGCATTTTTTAATAAAATTTCTAAACGATTGATTTCCGCTTTTAATTGTTCATTTTCATCATGCAATTGAGTATTTAATAATTGAAAATCATTAATTTGTTTTTGATAGGAAATTTCCTATGGAAAAAAAACTTATTGTATAGGAAATAGCGTCTTGAAGATAAAAAAACAATACCATTTTCTTCAATTCTTCATTCTGTTTTGTTAAATCGGTTATTTTTTTCTCTTTTATTCGTGATTGTCTTTGTAAATCAATAATATCTTTTTCTAATTCTTCAATTTTTCGTTTTAATCGACCAATTTCATCCTAGAATAATAATACAATATAAAAATCAATGAATATTAGAAAAAGTAAGTGACATCAGTTTATTATACTTCTAAATTAGTAATTTTCATTCTCAGCTTTTCTGTTTCATCATTTTTAACTGGTTGTACAATTTTTGTCGCTTTTGGTTTTTCTCGTGCAGGTGTAGTACTCAAACGATAGGGTACGCGTCGTTGTTGTGCCTCGGACGAACGGCGTTTGTCAATTGACTTGGTTAGTTTTTTTGGCGGTGGTACACGTATAAAACTACCCTGTATCTGTAAGTCAGTAGGAGAATCAGACATTTTATTTTCCGAATGATGATAATATCTAGAAAATATAAGTAAAACACATCACTGTGTCACTAACAATATGTCCTATTCTGATTCAGCATCAGACATACAGCTTCAACATAATAGTAAGCAAATAATTTGTACTATTAAATACAAATACTTAGTGTATTTTTAAAACAAACGGATGTACTTAAAATTTAAGTTAGTATCGCGAAAAACTTTTTTACGGTATTGATTAAAAAATACATCTCGTTCGAAAAGTACAAATAAATCCAATAGTACAAGCAATACAAACAAATAAATACTGATAAACACAAAAAAAAATACATGTAAGAAATATACATCTGATACAATAATAAATACAAAGATTAAGAACGCCTACAATCTGAGATAAACGAGACGCTGAGATCGCCTATACGTTAAGCCATTTAAAAAGAAAAATACAAAAACACAACGAACTTTGACTACCAACGACTAGTACAAGTAAAGTAAATGAGAAAATGAAGCTGGAATTTATTTTCTTGACGATGATGATGATGTCGGCGTTGTTACTTGAAATACATTGCTCGCAGCCATTAAATTTTCAATATATTGACCGAGTACTTGATTTTCTGAGCGTAGTTTAAGATTTTCTTCTTTGACTGAATCAACTCGTTTTGATAAATCATCTAATGTTTTTTGTAATACTAATACTTGAGATATTAATCGTACCTTTTCTTCCTCTTCTTCAGAATTGTAATTGTAATCATAACTTTGTCTTGAATGTGTAGACAATGAATCTCCACCATCACTCTCATTTTCAGTTATTCCACTGTTGTTTATATTAGGAGCAGAATTTTCATTACTTTCACTTGTTTGTGACATAACTGAAACAATCTAACAAATGACTAGAACAAAAAAAGATTTTTTGCCAGTAAATACGTTCATGAAATCGTGTGAGTGTCATGAAAGCACAATGAATGCTCAACCAAATTTTGTTTTTCTTTTGTTTCTTATATTTAATTTTAGCAAAAAGAAACTAAGAGAACCCTTATAAGTCTTTTAGGCAAATAATAAGAGATTTGTCGTCCTAAAACAAACAGTTTTTAACTTTTTGTAGCAGATTTTTAGCACTCTTTGGTTCGATAATAACAGACATTTAGGGATGCAGCTCAAGAGTGTTTTGCACAAAAAATCTTAAGACAAACTTCAATTAGGCATATGACATAAGCATGTTTTAAACTAAGACAAATCTTAACCTGACAACAACATTTAAGTATGACTTCAGTATGCGCTAAGTAGATACTAATTTACCAACTTGGTCTAGCTAGATGTTTAACTTGAATCTAACTTGAGCAAAGAAAAGATGTAAAAAAAGTTAAGATAGATCAAGAGATATTTTACAGCGAAATATATTACTATGAATGTATTGTTTACCCCAGGTTTTTTTGATTTTCGATTTTATTTTCATAAAATCACATCGCATTAAGTAGCCATTTCTATATTAACTTCAACCCAAAATGTGATCTTGTAGTGTCGCTGTTGATAGCATTTGTGAACCATCGTCGCGATCTATATTCAGTTTATACGTTCAGTGAGAATCCACTGTAGTTTAGCAAGTTAAACAACAAAATTTTAGTCATGTATTTTTCCCATGTATAGCCGCTGAACTGTAAAAGGCTGATCAACAAAAAGTGAATTTATTGCGGTTTTCCATGGTAACGAAAAATGCTTATGGCTGCTGAAGATACGAGGAACATGTATTACATGACGTGCAAAAAAGGTTTTTAGTATTGTTCAAAGAAGAAGATATAATAGATTAACTTTGTTTATAGATGAAGACTAGTAGTAAAATTCCCATTGCCCTGAAGTTTCTATGAATGGCTTATCCCACAGTACAACAAAGTTTAGTCTTTATTGTTTTCTGCGCTGTTTTTCAGAGGAAGTGAATCCACGGGCTCAGTTGAACCATCAACTTTAGATATTCATCAAATTTGTGTGAATCAATCGAATACCAATGGCTAAAGTAATTACTAGACCGCAACGATTCACACCGGAAGAATGGCGTTTAGCAAGCAAAGTAAAACATAAAAATTCCGAAAGAGATCGTAGTGTTACCGAGAAACTTATTTTGGAAAATGATAGATTGGATCAAGAGGGACGTGGTACTGTGGATCGAACGCTTGCTGATGTCAATAAAAAATTAGGTTAGTACGACAGAATTGCTATTTTGCTGTTTATTTTTTTCATTAATATTATAAAATGTTTTACTCTAGATCAACGCCTTGATCATATCAAAAATTGGAAAGGAGAACTTGAAGTTAAACGTACAGATATAGTCAAAGAAGTTGATGCTACGGAAGTCTATCTAGTCCGATTGCAAAAAGGATTACAATCATTGCAGGATAATTTGCATATTGCTCAAACTTCACTTGCAAATCGGTCAGTATGTTTTACGTATCATTTCTACAGTTGAACATATATGTTTTTTACATTCTAGTGAAAAACGTTTTGATATCGATCTTGTTCACGATGATGTTCAAAAAAATTTAATTATGGAAGTAACTGCTGTTCAAGGAGCCATTGCATTGTTAACACGAACAATTGAACAAACACAAGAACAACTACGGTATGTACGAACTTTGATTCAAAAACTGTTTTAATCATTCCGAAGGGTTAATTTTAAATTTTCGAAATACAATATATATAGAAAAAACATGATCCATAAGACTGAACTTAACTTCATTATAAACATGAGTGCTGTTAATGAAGAAACATAAGAGTTTTGATTAGTGTCCAATATTTTCGTGCTACTTGAATCAAAACCATAGATGTTTTTTTATACGAGAACGTTAGATAATTTAAATCTATATTTATCCTAATTGATATTGAAGTTGTTATTGATTTGTTAGAGATATACAGAGAGTGCCAGTTCTTTTTCAAAACAGTTGTGTTTATATTAATCTCTCCTAAGCATAATAGTTAAGAATCAACATAATAGTCTTTTATATGATTAAATATGGTTGAGCAATTTGATTGTTAATACCAAATAATGTTTACAACATTAATAGAGAATCTTTCTCATGTTAAAAGACAGAAACAACGTAGATATTATTTAAAAATGATTTTTATGCTATTTCTCTTTCTGTACATTGTTTTTCACGCATGCGTTTTTGTGAAAATTGGAAATGCCACTTGTTCACATATTTTTCTAATTACAACAATGATAGGTTAGTTCTCATAAACAAATGACTGTGTGTTATAAATGTATATATAAATTTTGTTTGACATTTTACGATAAAAAACGTTAATAAGCCTTTGGCAATTGAACTAAACTTACCCATACTGTGTATACGAGAAAGATCAGTAAAATGATTATCTTGATACTACATATGTAGAAAAGTTGTACATAATCATACTCAAAGACATGTTATAATTCTAGGTTTTTTGTTCTGTAAATAGAAACTTTTAAGCAATGTTTTAAGAATTTGCTAGAAACTCGTTTATTTCTGCCCTGTTGTATTACAATACAAAAGTATGGAGTATCAACTCTTTATTTGGACTACCTTTTCATAGCAAAAAAAAAAAGAAGAAATTTCTTGTACAAGCACTCGCTAATAGTACATTTTGCTACCTTTTTTTTCGTTTAATTCTTAGTCGACGTTCTCGTAATACTTCAGTCACTTCGTCAACATTTGGTTTCTCATTTTCTATCGAATATACCGATAGTTGTGTTGACGTACTTAATGTACTCGAAGTTCTTGGTGCTACGACTGGATCAATTGTTGTTATTGTTGAATGTCGTTTCATTGGTATTGGCGGTATTAATAATGTTGGCGCATCTTTCAATAAGTCTACTGTTTTTTCATCTGTTTTTAAACTTGGTAATAATAATTTATTTGAATCTTGATTAATTATTGGTTTTTGTAGTAGTGATTTTCCTTGTAGACTAGCAGCAATTTTTGGATCACTCATAACAGGTAAAAAAAGTAATTTACCCAAACTTAATAGGCCTTGATCGGGACCCAATGTTGACATCATTTTTGCTAAACCTTCGAGTACAATAGGTTGTGAAGCTTTTTTTTCATAACTATAAAATAGTTCTTCTATCACGTGTGTAACAACATAATCTGATGTATTTGTTTCTAAAAGACGAAGTACAAATATACCATCACATTTTAAATAATTACGAGCAAAATCTGTATGTGAATCATCATGATAGAGTAATGAATTTTTATCAATTTTTGGTACAGATGATGTTATTGTTGTTTTTCTTAAATATCTTGTTAATATTAATTTTAAACGAGTAGTTACATATTTAATACGAATAGGTGCTATAAAATGATATGACCATGATAATAATGATATAATATTGAGAATAACAATCATTGTATACCAGAAAAATAAAAATGTAAATAATTGTTCAAATAAAAGATTATTGGGTAGAACACATTCAACAGTGTAACGATGAGAATTCCATAAATGATTTGGTTCTCGGACACTAGAATATATCAATAAATAAAATTGACTAAAAATATTTAAAATATTTTATTGTTCAAAATATGTTTATTTATAATTATTTTTATTATTGTATTTTGTTTATTTCTCTATTAGAGACGCTTAAAGAGTTTCTTACCTATTAGAAACGAAAAAAAAAAAAAAATGCAATATTCTTTTGTTTTGCTTACCATCTGTCTGATGGACTTAGTTGACAGTTTTTATTCACGTATGTATTCTTATTTTTTTTTATTAGTAGATAATAGAAGACTTTGATCTTGTTGATTATATCAACATTTTGTTTTGTTTTTTATTCTTTTTGTGTTGTTTTGTTGTATATATAATAGATAAACTGTTTATCTATTTCTTCGACATCAAGGTTACATCATTTAGAATTTTTAGAAACAAAATCTAAATACTTTACCTAAAATCGCAGAGTGTTACTTTTGGAAAATATTTTGATAATCCACTTTGTAGACGATATGATTCTTGTGTTGGTTGATTTTTAGCTATTAATATGAGTTTTTGAAGTAATTCAAGACCATATTTATAATATCGAATTCCTAACATTTCATTTAAAAGTGATAATTGTCCAATTGAATTAATAACATACAACGTTTTTGTTAGTAAATAAACCATCATAAAATAATTACCTTAATTAAAAAAGATAAAAATAAAAAAAATAAAAATAAAAATAATTTAATAGTTAATTTAGTTTAAAGAATATAGAAAAATATATTTGTGAAAAAGAAATGATATAATATTACCTGTTTAATAGACTATTATTGTATATTATTAAACTATTAAGTAGACAAAGAATATACATAATCTTATTATTACCTTGAAATTTTCCATACATACAACAAAATACGGCAAGTATTTTTTTTGATAAACTTAAATTTCTATTTTCTCTTCCACGTCTTGGATCATCAATAAATTCATCAATTGATGCAATAATATAATTCATTATTTTTTTACGTTTATCCATACGATCAATTGATTTATAACTTTTTCCAGCTTCAATAATATCTTTTAAATCAATTCCACTACGAACCATTAATGATTGCCATATTAAATTTGGAATGTAAAATAGTATACTTAGAAAACAGAGAATAAACGGTATCCATTGATAATATAATAATTCTCGACTTGTACGTTCATTTAATGTTTTAGGAATTTTTTGTGTTTGATTTACATAGTATGTATTTTGAATATAACAAATATGATTTGTGTAATCTTCATAGCCAGATGTAAATATTGCTGGAACCCAACCTAAAAGACATAATAATAAGTGGAAAAAAATAAAAAAAAGAACAACATAACAAATAATAAACAATAAAAAATAAACATACATTGTATTTGTTTACTACTAAATTGTCTATTTGTTACAATTGCTGAAAATACATTTAAAATAATAACGGTATATCGATAATTTAAACGATCAACAAAATCATCGGGATCCGCATTTTGTGTTGTACCTTGTCCAGCTAACGATGGTATACCTTTCAATAGTAAAAATGCCATCCAATAGTGCTATTATTATTATTATTGTTCTTGTATGATGATTAATAAGAAAAACTGATAAATTCATTATTAAAATTTATTATTTAGTATTTGATGACCATAAACGATTATTTTATTATTAATCTGACAAATATACAATAAATGCATTAATTTTTTCTCCTCTTTTTTTTGTTTCGTTTTAATCGTATCCGTACAGAGAAAAAAAAGAGAGAGAATATAAACGGTGGTTGTTGTTTTTTTTTTTTTTTTTTTTTTTTTGGTTGTAATAAATTTTTTTTTTTTTTTTTTTATTTACGGGG